CCGACGCCGCGCGCGGGGCAACCAAGGGCGCCCGAACAAGGCTCCATGGCTGGAAGCCGCTCTGTACGAGTGGTGGTCCCACATGAGGTACTCCGTGGACTGGAAGGCGGTGGCCAAGCGAACCGCAGTTGCGGAGGAGAGGCCCAAGATGTTGGCCAGGTTCTCCCAATCCCTGCTGGTTACGAAGGCGAAGCAACTCGTCGCGGACTACTGCGTGGAGACAATGAAGCGGGGAGGCAAACCGATGGTGCCGCAGTTGCGGCCTCGGTGGTGGGTGAAGTGGCGGCGCTCCTACGGCCTGAGCATGAAGAAGCCGAACCGCAAGTACAAGGTGCCAAAATGGTTGCTCCAATCTCGTTTTGAGACTATGATCTTGAACGTGGCCAGGGTCCGCGCAGCTGCAGAGGAGCTTCTGGGGTACGACCCGCACATCCTGAACTGGGACCAGTCGCCCTTTCACCACAACGAGTCGTCGTCGGCCTCGAAGCCGACCTTGGCTGTGAAGGGTGGCATTGTCCCGCTTGTCGAGGCGCATGACGACAGCAGGGCTCGGTGGACAGCGAACCTGACGGTGTCGAGCGACGCGGAGGACATCCGCAGTTGCGGACCACCGCCGGCGGAGCTAATGTTCAAGGGGGGATCTGTCATCGCTGAGGGCTTGGCCGCACATGCCCGCAGTCGCGGCTATCCGTCTTGGGTGAGCACGGCGACGTCCGAGAAGGGGTCCTACCGCGCAGACGACGTTGTATCATTCTTGCAGCGGCACTTGCGGGCCTGGCCCGACGACCCGCAGTTGCGGGGAAAGTGGCGCATCCTCATGGCCGACGACCATTCCCCGCACAAAGCAGACGCTGTGCGGAGACTCGCCTGGCAGCGCGGCTACGTGCTGATCATTCACGGCGGGGGGACGACCGCAGTTGCGCAGCCCGTGGACACGGACTTGAACCAGCACGTGAAGCGCCGGTACATTGCCCTCGAGACCAAAGCGCTGGTGCAGCAAATGGCGTTGGGGAAGCACGTGCCGCAGTTGCGGCGTTCCGATTGCGCCGACTTGATGCTGTCAGTGTTGGAGAATGTGCAGTTGCACTTGGACGCCGCGAAAGGTTTCCTGAAAGTGGGAATTCGAGCGCCCTTCGACAAGTCAGGAGATCTCGAGATTTGCCGAGAGGCGGCGGAACTCTGGGAAGCAGGGGGGCTGCGAGCAAAAGTGGACACCGCAGTCGCGGAGGTGAGGGAAGAATGCGAGCAGAAACGTTTGAAATGGTCCTACAATGACGTGCTGCGTCTCATACACGAATACGAGAAACACGACGCCACAGATTCCGTGTTGGAGAAGCTCGGCGACGAAGCGCTAGGCCAGGAGCCAGGCCACGAGGAGGGCGATGAGGAGGGCGGGGAGGAGGAGGAGGAGGAGGTGCACGAGGAGCACGAGGAGGACGAAGAGCAAGAGGAGGCCTCGTGGGCCGAGGCTCTTGCGGAACAGTGCGATGCCGCAGTTGCGGCACCTGGGCCTCAAGGATCCTCGGTATCCATGGACTGCGTGGTCGACGCAGAGGCGGCCGAGCAGGTGGCAGTGGCGACGTCCTTGGCAGAAACGCTCCGCGAGGCGGAAGATATGCTGCGCCAAGTGGGCATGGAGAAACTAGCGCAGGATTGCCGACAGCAACGACACAAACAAAAGAAGCGGTTGAGAGAGCTGGCGCGGGAGGACAACGAGGTCCTACGAGCGTTGACTGCCCAGCGAGACCACGAAGCCGCAGTGGTGGCGAAAAAGCGGCGCCTGGCTCTGGAAGCGAACGACAGGACGAAGGCGTTGCACGATCTCAAGAAGCAGATTCGAGAGGCCGAGGCCGCCTTGAGGGCAAAGAAGGAGGCCGCAGTTGCGGTGGAAACGGCTTTGGCTAACAAACACGCCCTAGCGCAGTGGAATCCCGAGGAGTTCAAGATCAAGAAAAACAGGATGGCAGCTCTGGATCGCCTGGCTCGCGGAAAAGGCGTCCTCTCAGACGAGCAGAGGGGGGAGTGGGCATGGTTCAAGACGCATTGGGACGAGGAGATGTGCAAGCAGCACAAGGAGCAATGGCCGCTCACGTTTGCTGGGTGGCTGCAAAAAGTCGCGAACGACGCGGCGTCTGGGAACCGTTCGGCGCTGTCGCAGTTCGTGCATTCGGAAACAGTGAGAACCCTGGGAGGGCAAATGGCGCTGGTAATCCCAGCCCTAGCGTGATGCAGGCCGCAGTTGCGGACCCACAGGAAGTCCAGAGGGAAGTTGTTTTTCCAAGCGGCTCCCGCGCGGGCAGGAGATGAGGCAAAACCGCAGTTGCGGTCTTCCTGCTGCTGTGAAAATAATCCTTTCACAGTCCCTTGCAATCGTCGCCCTCCTTCTGCTTCTCCGCCAGTCCATTTGTTGTTCTTTCGGTTCCTTTGAGTCCTCGCCCTCCTTCTGCCACTCCTCGAATCCTCTTTGTCTCCTCCCTCCATCCGACCCCATGCCCATTCACGATCCATTTCCGTAGCCACCGTGGCTCGAGGTGGCGCACGCGAAGACGCAAGCATGTGGCCGCCCGCGCGCCCGAGCGCATCCTCAGGGAGTATGGACCGTGGACCTCGATTCGCCAGAACGGTGTTCATCCACAACGCTGAGGAGGAGGAGGGAGGCAAAGACGAGGAAGCCGCAGTTGCGGATGATGACGACGACCAGCGGACGCAAGATGGCGACAGCACCGTCGCGTCCTCGGCTGCCTCCGCTGACGAGGCTGAGTCCCGGGGAGGTGCGGGAGCCGCAGTTGCGGCAGCACATGACTCCTACATGCCGAGAGTGTTGTCGTCGCGGAGACCCTGGAAACGGGTGCCCATCATCGAGACAAGCAATCTGTCGGAAAAACAAAGAGCTCTTGTCGACGCATGGGAGGAGAAAACGGAGTTCGAAGCGGGACGGGTCGGCTTCTACGTGGCCAACTTCGGAGGGACTGCAGCTAGACCCACGCAACGCGCGGACGAGTGGGCGCAGCTCCGCGCGAACCCTGCCCAGATCATCGCCCTCTGCGAGTGCGACGACGAGACCTGCGCGGTACTCAGTGGGGAGCACGACGCGAGGGACAGTGCAGCCGCAGTTGCGGACGATAGGTTTCGGAGTCGGACTCAATACAACTACCTGTGCGTTAAGGGCGGCGAGCCATCAGGGACCCTCCTTGTTGGCATGAGGGACCGCAGTGGCGGCCACATTGAACACGTAGACTTTGCGAGACTCTTCCACAAGCAGGAGAAGTCCAAAACGAAGAAGAAGAAGAAACCGTCCGCAGTTGCGGAGGCTCCTGCGCCAAAGCTGCACAACAAGTACTCCAGGGCGATGGTGGTGCGCGTCCACCTGGACCAGGCCGTGACCCATTTGGGGGGCTCCTTCAACGTCATGGCGGTGCACGTCCACCACAGCTTGGCCAACCAAGACTGGGGCGTCACGAAGCTCCATGAGTTCTACAACTGGTTCGTCGCCTACGTCAGGGAATGGGACGTGAAGGTCTGCATGGGGGACTTCAACATGTGCATGTTCCAGCTTGTGTCCTGGTGCCGCAATTGCGGCCTGACTGTGGACGTCGCCGCGTGGACCCCCTGGAAGACAGCAGGCGGCCAGCCCAGGGCAGACAGCATGGCGATTTTGTTCATAAACTGTCCTGGGCAGTACAAGCTTCACCATGGCCTGAGTGTTCTGCACGACCGTGAGGGCGGATTCTTGACGACCCAGCATGATCCGTCTTTCCCTGTCTTCGACTACACGAATGGCCCTGGGAAGATGCTTCAGACTTACGTGCCCAAGGCTGAGCCCGTTGAAAACAAGATGCGCGCCTTCCTGACGCCATCTGGCGAATCCTTGACCGCAGTTGCGGAGTTCGAGCAAAGGATGGCGCGCAGGGAACGCGACGATTGGGTGCGCCATCCCTTCAGAGTGAAGCAGGGCAACCTCGACGACAAGATATGGCATGGCGCCTTCGGCAGGGCGAGGCACGGAGCGCACTTCCCTCTGGTGGCTTTCACGCACAATACGTGCCGCAGGTCACCTGAAAGACTCGCCGCGAGGTTGGAACGCAGGAAGGGCGGCAGGAAGGGCGGCAAGAAGGGCGGCAAGAAGGGCAGCTACGCGGACACCGCAGTTGCGGGGAAGGGCGTCCGACCCCAGATGGGAACCGCAGTTGCGGGGAGAGACGCTGGGGCTGAGCGAGCTGGGAACACGCCACCGCCGCAAGCTGCCAACGGCGACGATGCGACCCCTTCTTGTGCCGCAGTGGCGGCTGGGTCCTGGGACGCCAGCGGCAGCGGCGCATGGGAGGCGCGCAGTCCCGCCACGAGATGGCAGGGCTGGTCCTGGTGGGACTGGAGCTCGAGCGAATGGGGCGCTGATGGCGCGCAGTGGTGGCCCTCTGATCATGCCGCAGTTGCGGACAATGCCCCTGAGGGCTCGCCTCCTCAGCGTGAAGTCGAGTGGGGCTCGAGCGGGCGACCTGCCGAGCGCCCTCCGCGGAGCTTCGAGGGGCAGCGTTGGTGATGGCCGCAGTTGCGGGCAAGTGGAGCATGATGTTGATTGCCGCAGTTGCGGACAGTGTACGCTGGAAAAATCATCATCATCATCAATCATAATCATCATCATATCATCATATCATACGTTCAAAGCAGTGCCGGGGCACTGCTTTGAACGCGTTCAAAGCAGTGCCGGGGCACTGCTTTCGATCGTCGCCTCGTCGCCGTTATAAGGGCTTTCGGATTAGCCCCCAACCATTGCCCTCAAGCGTGACCACACATCTGCCTCCGAAGGTCGCCCCTACCGCCTGCCCCAGGGACGCCCGAGCTGTTCAACTTCGACGAGCTGGTCGCCTATGGCGTGCGAGTCCAAGGCTCAGCACGCCGTGGATTTAATCCACGGGTTCACACTAGTCAGCCACAACGCTGGGATCAGCGCGTGCGCGAAGGGCAAGCAGTGGCAGCGGGCCCTGGCGCTGCTGAGCGAGATGTGGGAGGCGAAGCTGGAGCCCAATGTCATCAGCCACAACGCTGGGATCAGCGCGTGCGCGAAGGGCAAGCAGTGGCAGCGGGCCCCGGCGCTGCTGAGCAAGATTCAGGAGGCAAAGTTACGGCCCAACCCTATCGGGTGCAGCGATGAGACCAGTGTTTGTTGCGAGAGTGAGAGTGGCGAGCAGTGGCATCGGGCTTCGGTACAGCTGAATGAGATACGTGCGACAACGCTTGAGCCGAGCGTCATCATTGATACACGCTCGAATGGCAAAGTAACACCCGAAGAGGCTGATCTGACATTACACGCGAGCGCTGGAAATACTGATGATCCAGCTAGGTGTATCGGGCAGGCTCGCAATCGTGTGTGTTTTCAGGAATTCACGTTCTCAAGCGCCGTAACGGGAGCAAGCGTACTTACCGCACCAACCATGTACGACGTGGCAGTGTAGTTACCACAGTTGATGTTGCTGTCTCGCAGCAGTGGATTCGCAAACGATCCCTTGGCAACGTAGAGGATGCGGCGGGCGTTCGCGTTGTGGGTGGCCTGACCTTCTTCACCGATGTCGTGAAGTCTCACGTGGACGAACGCGGCACCCTCACCCGGATAGATTTTCGCGAAGTGAAGCCGGACGTCTCTATTGACCACGTGAAGCAGGCTATGGGTGCGTTGTGCTTCATCAGTTGGGCCGTCCGAGAGCGCCCACCACCAGTTCCGACGAAGCTCTTCCTTGAATTGCCAGAAGATGTCAATGAAGAGGTACGTCGCTGCTTTGAGTCACTGGGTGTTGAGATGTGCGTACGGCCAGATGTGCCGACATCAGTGGCAGCATCGCCACCTGCGGAGCCCCGGGGCAAGGAGGTCAACTGGCGGGCTGCCGCCCGCTCGGATATAAGAGTCGTCTGCCCGTATGCTCAAGAGCTCTTCGAGTCGAAACGTCAGCGGCGAGGAAACGTCAGCGGCAGCAGCAGTAACGAAACGTGGTGACAGTGTCGCCTATGCCTCAGGATTTCAACGCCCGTCCTCGCTGTCACGGGAATGCGGCAACAAGCAAATCTTCATTAAGCGGAGAAGGCCCGAAAGGGGCTGAATATGAAGATTGCTAGTCATCTGCTCGGGCACTGGCCTGACTCCTACGCTCATGTGCACGGCGGCGCCGTGCGGCGCGAATGGCATCCTTGGACGCGACTGCCTCGTTGGAGACCTTCAGCGTCACGAAACCTATCTTCATCGCGTCCGTGAGGTAGCTCCTCTCGGCCTCGAGCTTGGTCAGCGCATCGGCCAGCTGCACACTCGTGTCGCACCATTCCAGGTCGACTCCATCTTGGGTAAGTAGCTCTCGTAGCGCAGCTATGACCACTCGAACTCGACGATCGGCGACCTGCCCGGCGTCCGCCAGGAGGTGGTTGACTAGGCTGTTGGCATCGTCAAACCACGTCATTGGGATCAGTTTGGCCACGTCATGAACCAGCTCCATGATCGGCTGGCTCGGCTTCTCCATCTCGAAGTACAGCGCACGTATCCACTCCAGAGCTTCCGCACCCTCAGTGAGTCCGTGGGCCTCGGCAGCCATCGAAGCTCTACACACGCGTCGGATCTTCGAGCTCCCCCAATCGAGGGACCGGACTGGGCCACCACCATCCTTGTATAGGCCGTCGTCGCACAGTGGCACACAAACCCTAGCTGGATTTCACCTTCTCGCCGGGGGGGGGGGCCCATCGTCAGCTCGTCGATGTTATTCAGGCTGCTGTCCGCGAACACGCACCCGCGGACGTCGGACTCCTTCTCAATGAAATCGCTCCGGAAGAATAAGCTCACATTCGTCGTCTCGTGGCATTGCAGCACCAACTTGTGTATCTCCAGGAGGTCCTGCACGGTAGCGCTGTTCTTCTGCGGAGCGAGCCAAGTGTATCCGAATGAAATATCCATCCGTAACTGTCGGGACAGCCATCCCAGGGAGCCGATCACCGACTCCGCGGAACCCTGTTCGTCGTCCGTAGCCTGTGACTTGACCTGCTTCTTCCTTGCCGGTGCCAACGGCAACTCCTCCTCTGCTCAACGAAGTGTCGCATCGACACACGGATCGAGTAGTCCGCTTCCTGCTCCACGTCCTTGCCACAATACCTGAAAGGGGGCTTCTCCTCCGTCCAGAGCACCTTCTTTAGCTCCCTCATCGTGGTCACGTAGAGAATGCTGTTCGGATCTCCAGTCGCGAAGAGATCGTCCAAGGCCGACGAGGGTCTCGCTCACGAACAGCAAGAAGTAGGCTTTCTCCAAGCGGCTCTCGTGCCAAGAGTTGCCTCGCAGCGTCCTCCGTATCTTATTCCGCCACTTGCGTCCAGCATCCTCAGTACCGTAGATCGCGCCGTGGCGCACGAGTAGCGAGCCTGGGAGGACTCCAGGAGGTAGTGGAGAGGGTGGCCGTAGCACCAGCATTCGGTCAACGTCGTCTCCTTGCAAGTAGGCACTCGTCGCGACGAGCTTAGATAGTGGCCAGTGCTTCCTGGCCGCAGTGCTGCAGATCATGTGGAACACCAGCACGGAGGATGTCGGCGAGTCCGTCCGAACATGCACCGACTCGTAGCAGCCGACCGCCACCAACCTCGATTTCGCCTTGAGAGGCAGTTTCGGGTCGTACTCGTTCTTGTTGGTATAAACCCAGCTCGACGGAATTGGCTTCGCCCTGGTGAGTAACTCCTTGCGTCGTTCCCCGTAACTACGGTCACCGCCCTGAAGTTACGCCAATTCTCCCACTCCTTAGCCATACTAGCGTCGAACTTCCGCTCCGTCTTGGTCAGGTCCATCAGGTTCATCTCCTCTCTCGACCGTGCAGTAAGCCATACGTAACTGATCCAGGCGTGGTAGACCGCATCCGTGTCGAGTTCGAGAAGGTACGATCCTCCGGCCATGGGGCCGCCGTCACGGAAATGTCGGGCTCGGACCCGCTACGTCCCGTAACCAGGTGTGCTTTCAGGTGGATCGGGTAGTTCAGGAGGAGGTGGAGCGATGTTGGGCTCGACGTCCTCATTCATCTTCTCCTCTTCTCTCTCGCCAACGTCACCCGGGACTGGGTCAGATCCGGCACCCGAGCTGGATGCCGCTCGTGATGCTGGACTGGCTCGGGGGCCTCAGCTAAAGATTCGAGCTCGGGGGCTCCAGGAGTGAGGTTTTCTCCCTGTCGGGGCCCGATGGGCACCACGTCGCGCCCATCCGGCGGCAGGGCCGAGGCCTCGGCTCCCGCCGCAGGGGGTGCCGTACCCGTCGATGCCTCCGTAGTCCTCGACGCCGAAAGCCCCGGGCGCGGGCCGGTCGCAGTGTCCGTAGACGCCGTCGTAGGTGTTCCTTATGGTAGCGTAGTAGCTTCGGGGTCTTCAGGTGCTCCGTCCTCGAGACCTCCGCGACGTACGTCCAGAAACCCGCGAGGCCCTCGCAGGAGTGCTGCTCCTCGTTGGTCCGCAGGCATCCGGTCCCAGGTGATCAGCTCGTCCTCCGTCGCGAACCGAAGCTGGTCAGGTCTTGCCAAGACCGCGCCGCCGCCATACCGCAGCCAAGTCGCGTTAGGGCTGCCCTGCACGGCCGCAAGATGCAACGTAGGCTCGATCCTATCCGCCATCTTCTCGGGGTCGCGGAAGTCGTGGCCGATGACACGAGCGACGCCGAACCAGCGGTGAGGAGCGCGGGCGACTCGCCCGGCCCGACATGAGTGCGCCTAAAGTATACGTGGGCGCCCGCAGGGAACGGTCCTACTGTAGGCGTAGATCTCGCCATCTTCGCTCTTCTCACGCGGTTGTCAGTGTCCATCTTCACGAAGGCGACTTTGGCGCATTCGCGCCACATTAGGTTGGATGCCGTAGCCGAGTCCGGGTCGAGAGCTGCTTCCTGCACCTGTAGTTTCTCAGCTTCTCCGTCTTGAAGAATCGACCCAGGTACTCGTAAGCCGCGAGTGCCAAGCGCCCAGTTGGCATGTGCGTAGCCGTCGTAGATCACCGTCTCATTGCGCACCTGGTTGATGACCCCGCAGAGGGTCCTGAGATCCTTCTCCTTCGTGATCTGGGCATTCTGCACCACACGATGCCACACCTCCTTCCAGACTCCGCCAAGCCTCTCGATCCTTCCGAGCTGCTCGTGCGCCTCCAGAGCCTCGTTCTCGATCTCCACACCGTTCTCGAACATGTGGGCCAGGAACTTTGAGAACTCCCTGCCGCGATCCACGAAGATGGACTGCGGTAAGCCAGCCCAGCTGGCCCACACCGTGAGGAACGTGTCCAGTGCCACCTTGGCGGATGGCGCGTACGTGTCACGATGCAGGTACCAGACGACCTGGAACTTTGTGCCGTCGCAGACGGTATTGAGGAAGGGATGCGTCCCTCCCTCCGCGTCGTGGGCGAACAACGTGTCGAGCATCACGTGGTAGTTGAACTGTTAGCGTCCCGGCATACGTACTGGGCGAACGTGTTTCGTCCTGATCATGTCGCCGCAGGCGTCGCATCTAAAATCCCACACGCAGTCCAGAAACTCCGTCTTCGCGCCAGACCTCCTCAGGCACCTCACCAGAGTCACATTGGTCGGGTGTCCGAAGTTGACTCGTAGGTTCCTGATGTCGCGTCTGACCGCAGGGTCGTATGTGAGCCACCTTTCCCTGCGTTCCCGTTCTTCTCGCGATAATACGGGGTCTAGTCCTGCGGCCTGCTCTGCTCGAACTCCTTCGGGAACCACTGCGGGCCCGCCCTTAGGTGGGAGTTCGGACTCACGTTGCTCCTGACTCCCGTCCTCAGCCGGAAGGCAATTCATTGGTTGCTTGCCACACAACTTGTTTCTCTGATTCTCAGGCTGGTTCTCGGCAGGGTAGCTCTCCAGAACTCCAAGTCCTTCGGGCACGTAGCTGTCGATGTCGAGGTCAATCTGCTGATCGATCGCATGTAGGACCAGCCTGTCCAGCTCCTCGGGCCATTTCGCTGCCGCGCGCGTCTTCTTCTGGTTCTCCAGCGGCAGGCGGTAGTGGTCCCGGGTGCACTTCTCGCTCCGCAGAGCTTCGTACACCGCCGTGCTGGTCGTCACGAACCTCATCGGCTTGTTGTGCGGCTCCTTGGTCTCTGCGTCCGCGTAGCCCAGCTGTCAGCCGTGGGGGGTGCACTCCAGCAGCAGGCCCTTCCTCACCAGCTCCTGGGTCTTGCTCATCTCGGGCTCGAAGTAGGCACCGAGGGGCTGCTCCAGCAAGACGCGCCTGCCGCGCTTCACCCTGTCGGCGACGACCTGGTCGGACAGCGCGAGAAGGGGTCTCGTCGCATCCTTCGCCTCGTACACTGTAGCCGCGGCGGCTCCGCCCTTGGAGATGTTGCACCGCCCCCGCTCGCCCCACGGGCCGCAGGGCATCGTGATGATCGTCGTGTAGGGTTCCTCCTCCAGCAACTGTCTCTTCGTGGCCTGCCTCCCCTTCCTGGTAGCACCGTCCCAGCCGTCCTCGATGTCCAGGGGCTGGCCGCAGTTGTAGCCGGAGGTGGCGGAGGCAAGCAACGCAAGGCCAAATTGATCGCAACAGAGTTGCTTCAGTAGTGTCTTCCCTCTGGGCAGTTACCTGCGTCTGGTAGTGAAGCCCGCCATGATGTCGAGAGACCTCGACTCCATAGTGTACAGGTCATTGTGCATGGCCTTGACCTTCTTCGTGCGTCTAGAGCTGGCCATCCTGATTGATTTGTTGTTATCCCAGTCGATCTCGTTCGGATTCTCGGAGACCGTCTCCGTCGCTTTCACCTCTATTGTCGGCATCACCACCTCCGCCTCTGGAAACCTCGCCGCGTCGAAGCCGTCGCCGGTCCCGTCCTCCGCGAGATGGGCCTGAAACTCGGGGCCGAAGACGCTCGGGTCCGGGAAGTCCAGTAGGCTGACGCCCAGGCGACCGCCACTCGTCTTGAAGAGGGGCACGCTGTAGGCGCCGATCTTGGTAAAGTCGGCGACCGCGTTCGCCTCGACGATCACAACCCCAAGTTCGGACTGCGTGCCCTTTCAGATCATCAGATCGAGCTCGGCGGACTCGATCGCGAAGGGGTTGCTAGCGATGCCTGCCGGCATGTCGTACACCGTGCCGCTGTATGCGTCCTTACCGACGCCTCGGAATTTGGTCTGCTGGGACCTTGGAACCGCCCTGAGCTCCCTCGCCTGAAGCTCCTTCTCGTACCCGATCCTCCAGGGGGCGCCGTGCATGGTCATCTGGCAGGCCGCGTCGAGCACAGCAGTGCCAGGCGGGTCCAGGGAGCGCGATCCGTAGACCTCGGCACCGTCGGCAGGACAGTTCGTCATCAGTACCTGGAACGTCCCGTCCTCAACCCGATGCGGGGCGTCCCAGTCGCCGAGCGCCATCAGGTAGATCAGGCACCAAGCCAAGCGGTACTGGTCCACACTGAGCCTGGTATCGTCGCTGGCCATCGCCGACCTGATGATGGAGTGGCCGTAGCCGTGCGCCGTGGGGCCACCGTTCACGAACTGCGCGAACGTGTAGCCCCTGAATATCCCAACCTTGACCTTCTCGCTGCCCAGGGGGGCGTTCTCCAGGTCGAGGCCCTTGATATCCTGGTCGAAGTCCGCCAGGTACGCCACGAAGACGTGCTCCTCGGTCTGGCACTCCTCGCGCGAGTCCTCCTCGGCCGTCGGGGCGTCGCCCTGGTCCTCGTCATCGGACGGCACCTTCACCTCGGTCGCCCTCTTGGTCCTCGCAGTCACCGCCGCGTGCTGCTCCTTGGTGCCCTTCAGGTCGTAGGCACCTGGCTGCGGCGCCCTCCGGGCCTTGTCAGCCTTCACCCGCCCCGATGCCACCAGGACCTTCCTGTCAAAGAGGAGGCGGCCACGAGGCGTGAACAGCAGCACCGCCGTGAAATACTTCCAGAGCTCCTCGCCACTGCTCCGGCGTGCCCTGGCCACGTGGATGCCGAGTTGCTCGGGCAGAGACCCGTGACAGGTCAGGTACCTGTGCGTCGCATTCGCACCCTTGAACATCCTAGGGTCCGCCTTTAGTGCGTGCCTGCAGGGCTCCGCCATGACGGGCAGCGACCGTCCTCGTCTCCTCGGTAGTCCAGCGGCTCCGTCCGCACCGTCAGCGCTGGCCTTGAGGGTCTCGTCGCCGCCCTGGGCCTTCCACTTGCCGTGCGGCTTCACCTCGGACTTCGGTCGAGCTCCGAGTCCCGAGGACGATGACGAAGCTGACGCCACGTACACCTCTGCGATCCTGGACTCGCCGACCCTGCTGCCGTCGCTCTTGAAGTCGCTGAAGCCGAAGCAGCTGCTCTTGGGTCGATCCGATGCGGGCTCGGCCGACCTCGATGACTTCGGGCAACTTGGATCGCCGTGCCAGTGCCCGATCTGCCCGCAGGATGCACGCCGTGCCGGCTTCTGCAGCTTCTCGGTGTGCGCCCGTCGGTCTCCGCCGTTGGCCAGCAGGATAGTGTTTGGCCGTGTGGGAGGTAAGGAATCCCAGACACGCTCCCGAGGCTTTTGGAAGAGCCACGCGATCCTCCCCCGTGGCGCCCATCAGCGTGCTGAATTCCGAGGTCAGGGCCACTGAAACGGCATCTGACATGTTCCAGGCAGAGAGTCTGGAGGGACCTGGAAACACTCCGCTCATTGCCTACGCCACGGTGGCGGATGTATGTAGGTTACGGGATCCGCAAGGCCCGCCTACATTCCACCCTCGCCTCATCCTCCCTCTCCCTCGTCCTTCACTCTCTCGTTCCTCCATCCCCTCTCCCTCCCTCCTTTCTCAACCTCCCGCCCTCGCTTCATCCCCCTACCGGGAAACGAGTTCATTTCTGGAGACGGATTTGCCTCCCCCCCCCGAAAACATGTTCGCGCACGTGTAATCTGCAAGCAAAGCGAGGACATGGTGTAACACACTTGACATTACCAAGGCACGCACAGCCAGCCCAATCCTGAAGCCGGGGTCGTGTGTGTGCGTGGCCTTGTCCAGACCAGGAGGGCGCCGATCCCGGGCCCAGGGTGGGCCGGGCCAGGATCGGTGTGCGCTGCGATGGGTGGCAAAGCCACTTCCACTCCCCGGGGAACCAGAACACCCCGTCCTTCCGAAAATGTCCCCACCTACCTGGAATCGGAACGCCGGCGAGACCCTCCACCCATCCCCCCCCCCTCCCCCTCACCGCCGGCAAGCAACGTCGATGACGACATCGCAGTCGCCGTCGTCGGCATCATCTTCGTCGGCGAGTCGATCGGTCGGTCGGGACACGTCGTCGTCGTTTGCCGTCGCAGTCGCCGTTGTCGTCGTCGTCGTCGCGTCGTCGTCGCCGTCGTCGTCGTCGTCGATGTCGTCCTCGTCCTCGTCCTCGTCGTCGTCGTCGGCCCCAGTCAGTCAGTCAGGCGGGGGGGCAGGTCGCCGTTTAGTGGGGCAGGTTTGCTTTGTTCTGTCGCCGCCTCTCCACGGCACGGCGGGCGCCCGCCCCGCCCCACCATCCCCCTCCCCCTTCGTGTTCCTCCATCCAGGAGGGGAAAAAACACACAGACACACTGAATCGTCGATTCCCTTGAAAATATAGTAAAATATGCGAAGTGGGGGGGGAGACATACAGCCAGAAAATATAAGAAAATATGGGGAATTCTTTTTGTTTGTGTGTGTTCGTTTGTGTGTCCCAGGGCCCCTTCATCCATCCCTCCTCACACCCTGGGAGGGAGGGAGGGAGGACATCACGTCCCTCGAGAAGGTCGGCGTCCTCCGCAAGGGCACGCTGCCGGCGCGCACGGAGTGCCTCAGTCTTGGCCAGGTCGTCGTGTTTCTCTTCCCCGATCCTTACCCCCCGTCTTCCTCAATCGTATCCCTATTCGCCCTGCTCCTCATCATCGTCCTCCTCCTCTTCCTCCTCCTTATTCCCTCCAGAGCCGTTTTGGCGCAGGTGCTGCGCTTGCGGATACTTCTCTTCAAAACGGCAAGGTATCCGCGGGTCAATTTTGGCTTCGAACTCTTCTTTCTTCCTCACGTCCAGTTCCCATGGCCCATGGCGTCGCGGGCAGCGGCGGCGGCGGCAGCTCCCCGCCTTGGCTCTCCTCTGGCGCCTCGTGGCCCAGCAGGAGCAGCTGGGGACAAGGGTACGACAACGTGTACTCTTGCCAGGGCCACAGCAAGACCACCAAGCACGACCAGGCTCAAGGCGGCGATCGCTGGAACTGCGTGTTGCGGCAAGACGAGTGTTTGGGCACTGGTACTGCAAGCATTGCGGAGCCGCACGCCAGGCGCCTTCTACTAATGATCCTCGCGTTCCTGGTGGTGTGTGGGCTCATCAGCAGGGCGTTCGTCGCGTGCATGGGTACCACCCACCTGGAGAGTGGGCCGTCTTCTTGTCTGGCCCACAGGTGCCAGGGCGCGCGCCTTTTCGGGGCCTGGAGCACTTGCAGGGGCGACCGACGGCCCCCTCGACGCCAAGGAGCTGCAGATGTTATTCTCTCTCTCTCTCTCTCTTTCTCTCTCTCTCTCTCTCTTTCTCTCTCTCTCTCTCTCTCTCTTTGTTTTTTTTTTTTCTCTCTCTCTCTCTCTCTCTCTCTCTCTCTCTTTCCCCAAGCGCATGGGCGACGAGGAGGCCGAGGCCCGCAACCAGGCCAAGCTGGACCAACTGGCGGGGGCTGCAAGACCACCCCCCAATGCGTTCCAGGAACAGGTTTCCGACTTCCACCATCGCAATAAGAAGCTGGACCAGCGCCTGGAGCACGAACTGGCGAAAGGCACGAGGTGGCAGGGACGGAGTACGGCCCCAGGAAGTGGCCATCTACGACATGCCCAAGCAGTGCCAGGCCATGGTGGAGGAACATCGACAGCTGGTTGCCAAGCTCCACGCGGCCGCGGCCCCTGACGTCAAGGAGGCCCAGTCTTGTCAGTGCAGGATCTCATCGACGGGGAGGTCGCCAACATCACGATCGACGGCGGCGCTTTATTCTGGTTGGACATTGATGGCATTGACGAGGCGGACCTAGCCGAGGTTGAACGAAAGAGGACGGGCTTCAAGGAACACATCGGCAATCAGCCCCCCCCCGAAGGCGCGCCGGCAGCTCGAGGGGGGCGGGGTCCACAATCTCGCAGCGAGCCGCCGTTTATTACTACAATTATTTTGCAGCAGCAGCAGCGAGACGCGCAAATGAGTGGACAGCCTCTGCCACGCTCTTTTCGCGCCTGGTTCCCTCGATCCACCTCGATATTATGGTTGTTCAGAACGGCCAGAGAGGACATGTAGTCCCTCCTGGCAGACGCTCATCTAGACGTCAGTTGCAAGGGCCTTTTCGCCTCGCTGCCGCCCGCAGAAGCCGAGTCGCTCCGTCTTCGGGTCGCCCCCGTCAACGGCAATTCTCGGGGGTCGGCGAAGGATCGGTCGCCTAGTGTTCCGGCCGAAGTTATTCTCATTCAGGAGCATCAATTTCTCACTTCGGGAGCCTTGGATAGGGCCTCGGCTTTCAGTCCCAACCAGGGCTGCAAGAGCCTCTGGATTCCAGGAACCACTGGGCCAGGAGGCGGCCCTTCAGCAGGAGTTTATATTGTGCGTCGGTCCTCTGGGGCCCCCCCCCCCTCAGGCGTCGAGATCGCCCCCCGCCGAGCGATCTCGGCTGCGGTGCTTGCGCCAGGTGGGGTTGCTTTCCAGGCGTGCTCTTTATATCTTCTGGATTCCGAGCGCCTGCCCGATGTCAAATTCGATATCCTGTCGGCCGCGGAGGCCGATGGATCCGCGCGCGGGAAAACATTCTTAGTGGGCGGAGACCTGGAACACGGAGCCAGCGAACCTCGCGGAGTCGAGGTTTGTTCGGGCTTTCGTGGGCCAAGTGGTTGAACCAGCTGGACGCACTTGCCATGATGGGACTGGCAAGACGCACGATTATCTGGCGGTGCCCTCGGGCCTTTCGAAGGGCGCTTCGGAAGTTCAGGCGATCGACGAGGCCGGTTTCCTTCCCCTCGCGCCTGCGCAGATCAGGTTGTTCGCTGGCCTTGCGAAGCTGCACTATCTCACCTTTCGCCGTCCTCCAGCCCCCCCTCTCGCGGCGCCGTTCGGCCCTCAGCCGGAGCCCGTGGATTTCGCCCGGGTCGAGGCGCAGCTGGGCGCAATTTTTTGCGCGTGCGAAGAGGGGGGGCGACCGAGCGATGACTGCCGAGCTCTTCAAGGAAGCCCACGCGCCATGGGCTGGATTCGCGGAGCTCGAACTAGCCAGGACTTCTGGGACCAAACCTCCAGTTTGGGGCATAGGGGGCAATTGGCCTATCACCCACTGGAGGCCGATCCTGGGCAAGGACCATGGCGGCGCAGGGTGCCCCCAACTCCACGCCTGTAGATGGTTGGCTTCTTCCGCGAAGCGTGCCCATACCTTTGCCGAGGCGACGACTGGCCGCGGGCTCAGGAAATGGCGATGGCTCGGCCCCCCCCCCCCTGGCTTGCGCAAGCCCAACGAACCCTTCCCTGGGATGGGGGGCGCGTTTTCGGAAGCTCGTAATCCGGCCGACGATTTCTTCGGCAGCCCCCCTAGTTCGGACGGGGCTGTGGGGCGCATCCAGGGCCAGTTTGCTCAGTTCAACGAGAATGTGCCCGATTTTGCACTCGGTGTGCTATGTTTGTCGCCCGCCGAGCTCGAAAAGACTGGGCCGACTGGCTCGCGGGAAATGTTGACCGAGAAGGAGGGGCGGCCCATTCTGACACCAAGGATTGCCAAGGATGAAAGCCCAGCACTACCCTGAGCTCGGGTGGGCGCGCGGCGCCCGACCCGCAGTCGCTCTTGGCCGTCGAGGCCAGCAGGTTCCACGATCTGCGGGAGCCCCCCCCCGCTCCGATGTCATTCGAACGTTTTCCAAAACGTTTGCCCATGGGTCTGCGGTCGGTTTGGGCGGTTTTGATATTCGGCATTTTTCGGTTCTGTCGGATGGAGTCCTGCGCGTGCATGGGCGGTTTTCTAGTTTGATGGAGATGTCGGGTTCGCTGCCCACGCGCCTCCAAGCGGTCATCGCTGCCCTCCTGCCGAAGCCGCTGTCTGGCCCCAGGCCCATGATGGCATTTCCCTATCTTTTTCGTCCGCGGGGGAAATGCAGGAGGGAGTGCGCCGCAGCTCGGGAGGTTGACAGCCAGAGGAACTACAGCTAAATCGCTGAAGTATGGAACACTTTGGGTAAGAACGGGGCTCGATATTCCTTTGCTCCTTCGATGGCTGTTCCTTTGGCCTTCCTCGTGCGCGCAGACGCTCGCGGGGCCAAAACATATGCTTCGTTCCTTGTTTCTCGTTCCTTCCTTCAGCAGCCCGACTGCATTGGGCGGCGGGGCAATGCGCGTCGACCTGCGACTCGGCATGGCGCCGGGCTGCGCGCTCGGAGCGCTCTCGATCCCAGGCTGGCCACGCCTGCACTTTTCTGCGGCTTCGCGAAGCATTGCGGGCGCAGCCCGCTCGACCTTCTCGCTTTTAGATGCGCGCAGCACGGGCTGCCCAGCGCCATCACTGCTCTGTGTCTCGCTGGGTGCAGGTCTGCCCGCTTCTTGACTCTGGCTGGTGTCGTTGCCACCCCAGTTCATGCTCGCGCGCGGATCATTGTTGGTTGCAGCCCCGCCACCGCGATGGTCAGAATTATTGCGCGTCGCGGTTTTGACGATCTCAAGCTCCTTAGGGGAGCTCACCTCCGACGCGCGCATCGACGACGTGGGTTTGAACGCCGTTGGACCCCCCCGTCAGATCGTCACGGGGACCGCCGAAGTTGCTGAAAGGTCGGAAGAAATCACCGGAGCGGTTTTGCAAGCCAAGGTTGCGATGGACACGGTTGGGCTGGTTGCTTCGTCCATGGACGTCTCCAGACAAATCCAGAAACGCATGGAAAGCTTGAAGGAGTTCACACTTGGGTCAATCGTCAACCTCGGGGTTGACGACGCTGCCGGCGGAGCTAGGCGGGCGCGCGGGCGCGACGGCAAGGCGAAGGCCCGCCTGCGCAAGGCGACGCGACGAGTTGGTAGACTGGCCCGTCAGAGCGGTCAAAGGGCTGTCAAACTGCATACCGCAGGACCTCTGGCGGGGGCCACGTACGGGGCGGAGATTCATGGGGTCAGTGATGGGGAGCTCTTCAAGCACAGGCGCAGGTGCGCCGCAACCATGCAGCCTTTGTTAGAGGCAGCAGTTGATTATTCATAGCAGGCTCGAAGGAGATCCCTCGCGGCGGGGCCCCGTCGCGCCTGCGATCCGATGGGCCGCGGCAGTCTGGGCCAGGCGCGCGTGCGCCACGGGTCGTTGTTGTGCCTGGGCCGAGCTGCTTGACCTCTGGCATGGGGCCTGCGGGCGGAGCTGGGCCTGGCGCGCCGCCCCCCGGGGGGCCTTGACACTTTCTTTGGCCGGGATAGGTCGGGGCATGCCCCCCCTTCCCCCCCCCCCTCTGTCATGGTCAGCGACCACAAAGTCGAGCAGTCTCTTACCCCCCCCCCCCCCCCCCCCCCCCCTCGAGATCGCAGGCGGGGGCGCGGGGGGATCTTGAGCGAGAGGCCGCGGGCAAGCATTGCTCGGATAATGTTCCCCGCTTGTGGCTAGATGTTGTTGCTCGCGCCCTGGCGCCCATCAAGTTTTCAGCTCGCCAGAAAGGAACCATCAGGCGATTCGCCAGCCAGGGAGTTTGGCTTCTCCCGCGGGCCTGCGCCGCTGGCTACGATCTTGCTGACGAGCGCCCTCTTGCCCACCACCAATGGGGCACCATTCCCCGCGGGCTTTGGTGCAGCCCAGCGGCGGAAGAGGAGAGGTGGGCGATTCCCCCCCAAAAAATAAGGCATTCCTTAACTTTACTATTCGGAACCATGGAGACGATGATGACAGGCCGCGTTTCGATATTGGCTCAGGCTTATTCAGCCACCTCGAATGTGAGCCCCCACCCTCCATCGCCGACCTGTTGCGACTCTAACGACGGCATTCAATTCCGCTGCCTCCTTGAAGGATTCGAAGCCGAGGGTCTAGAGATGCTGCAAGACGGCGCCAGGCAGGCGTGGGCCACGTTTTTCTGGATGGCTCGCGTTCGCGTACATCTGCGCGGGGCTCCAACCGCGCAGGCTGGGGGATAGCTATGCTTGGGCCGCGCGGCCATGAGGCCCCGCGTGGGGCGGCTGCCCCGAGGCTCCACAGGCTGGAGAGTTCACTGCATTTGGTATCGCCAGCGCACTGGAAAGCGGCCCGTCGATTTGGTTTATTCAGACTGTCAGGATGTTGCCAGCACGCACGCGTTGCCAGTGATCGACCAGCTCTCATCCAAGCGTCCGCATGCTGGCCTCGCGTTGCAGTCTTGCGCGTTGGGTGGCGAACGGATCCTTGGGTGTGCGAAGGTCAAGGCTCATGCGTCTCCTGATCCTGACATAGGCGAGGAAGAAATATCCCGTCGCCTCGGGAATGAGCAGATGCAGCTGCGACGCTGGGTGCAGAGACCCACCCGCTGCCTTCAGACGAGCAGGCGTCCGCAGCAGACGCGCAAGTCAAAGTTGCCCCGTCTGTCTTCAAGCTTGCCGTTGCTCTCCTCCCTCTCTGGCCACGTACGGACCTGCCCATGGCAGAAAGGCCACCCCCGCTGCCGCCCTCGTCTCGAGCCGCATCCGTCCCACACCGTCGGGAGTGCATGGGCCTCCAGCAGGCGATGTGCGTTTTTGGGTATGAGAGGGGTTTCCAAGGACTTCGCGCCAAAACGCGGCCCACATTCCCCCTCCTGGAGCTGGTTCTGAGTCCCTGAAAGTCAATGTACAAGGGCTCGGAGACTTAGACCACAGGCGTTGTCTCTTGGACGCGAGTAGCGGTTCGTTTGTGGTTATTTGTCTGAAGTGCAAGAGATACACCAGCGAAGCTCGTTTAGCAGAACTGGCCAAGCATTGCTCTGGCAAAATCAAAGAAGCTATAGCCCAGACGCGTGGAACAAGATAGCCCAGGGCCTCCATCCAGAAGCGAAGGGAGTCACCCTGTTATCTGACACGCCGAGCGTGCTTTAGGCGTGCCGCGACAGCCTACGTGCTCAAATCCTTTTTCCCTCCAGTCCCTTTTTCTCCCCTTCCCCTCCTTGCCCACCCTTCACCTGTCTCCCCCGCCCCCTCCTGCCCCTCATCCTCCGTCTTCCCGTTCTCATCCTCGTCTCATCTCCTCTCCCCTGCTCCCCTGCTTCGTCCGCCCGAAGCTATTCATCGCTCGTGGTCTCTGCGTTCGCGCCGCCACTTCGAAGGTTCCCATACCTTTCTTTTTCACATTCCCCCCTACACTCTGTCCTTCACCATCCCTTGTTTCGTCCGCCGCTCCCTCCCATCCCATTCCCCGTCCCTCTTCCGTCTCCCTCGCCCCCTCCACTCCTTCCTTCCCGTGCCCCCGCGACTCTTGCTCCCCATTTTTCCTCTCCGCTGATACCAAGTCGTCCACTGGCGCCCCCGCCCCCCCCCCTTCACCTCTGCCTGCAGAGGAAGGGATGACTGGGGGGGAAGGAGGAGGAGGGAGGAGGAGGAGGGAGAGCCGGAGAAGGATGAGGAGGAGGACGACGATGAGGAGGAGGAGGATAATAATGAGGAGACGAGAGGAAAAATTAGGAGGGAACTGGGGAGGAAGAGCAGCCGGAGGAGTGTAAGCAGGAGCAGGCGGAACAGGGAAGGCACAGGTGGAGAACGTCTTCACCCCTGGTAATATTGTTTCTTCCCCTTGGTCGGGCGCTGGCAGAATTAGAGTGCTGAAGGTACTACTCGAACTGGTGCCAGCTGGTGCTCGCCGTAGTGGAAATCGCCGTCTCGCATGTGAAGGCGCGCGCCTCCGATTCTCCTCGGGGCAGATGGGGACGGAGCGTGGACAGTGTGAAAGACAGGACAGGTGCACGATGCAACCAGCACGTCGCAGGCAGTTGCACGAACAGAGATGGTTCCGTTCAGCCCTTCACGTGTTCAAGCTTTGGCAAGTTCCCCCCCTGGATGGTTCCAGCACTGGCCAGCATATCCCACATGGCTCACGTTCAGTCTTGCCCTTGCCGTGTTGTCAAGCCCTGCCAGTTTGAACGGTTCCGGAGTTTCCAAGGTCAACATGTTCCAGTGTCTTTGTAGCCCAGGTGGAATGTGACAATTTGTCGCGGAGCATGTGCGATATGGAATTTATCTTGGCGAAGAGCCCAACGATATGCAGTTGCGCGTACAGTCGTTGCGGGTATCGTTTTCGGTGGATCTTTTCACGAGGCCATGAAGCATGCGAAGTGTGTGCCGATGTGGGGCTGGGCCGTCATGTGGGCGCTGCCACTGGTGCATTAGGCAGAACCCACTACGGGGCCGCGAAACGTGTGATGGGTGTGCCGCAATGGGGCGGGGCCGCCATTGGGGCCTTCGGTGGAGCCCCCTATGGGGCATCGAAACGCTGTATTGGGTGGGGGGGAACGCATGCGAATACCGCCACTGGGGCCCTCGGTGGAGCCCTCATATGGGGCCACGGACCGCTGTACTGGGTCGGGGAAACGCATGCGAACACCGCCATTGCGGCCTTCGGTGGAGCTCCCCATGCGGCCACGGAGCGCTGTAATGGGCGGGGGGAACGCATGCGAGAGCAGCCATTGAAGTTTTCGGTGGAGCTCCCGATGCGGCCACGAAACGTTGTACAGGGCGGGGGGAACGCATGCGAACACCGCCACTGGGGCCCTCGGTGGAGCTCCCGACGAGGCCGCGAAACGCTGTAATTGGCGGGGGTCCTGCATGCGAGGGCAACCAATCGGGCCCTCGGTGCAGCTCCCGATGGGGCCAAGAGCAGCAATTGGGGCCTTCGGTGGAGCTCCCTGTAGGGCCACGAGAAGCTGTATTAGGTTGGGGAAGCGCATGCAAGAGCAGTCACTGGGGCTTTCGGTGGAGCTCCCTATGGGCAAGGGAGCGCTGTAATGGGCGGGGGGAACGCATGCGAGAGCAGCTATTGAAACGTTCGGTGGAACTCCCGATGCAGCCGCGAAACATTGTGCTGGGTGGGGGAGACACATACTGATGAGGGCAGACGCAAGGATGGGGCAGGAGGGAGGAGGGGGAGGGCTGGAGGTGAGGTCAAGTAAGGGGACCTGTGGCGTTGTCTCTTCAAAACGAGGACCCAACACTCACAGGATAGTTGGGGAAAACATGATGTTGTATTTGCCGCATGGAGTCGGTGGCGCCGCGTTGGGTTTTTATTTCGCGGTCGTTGGTCGGACGCCGTCGGTGCCATCGCTGATGGCTGATTTATACGTTCCTCTTGCCAGCGTAGGTCAGTGTTGTCGACGCCCCGAATTCCCCAACCATGTTTAATGTCGTCCATGGGAACGTCGAGTGTCTCACAAAAGCCACGTGTACGCCCACGCCTGGCACACAGACTCCCGCCCTGTGCGGTGGACATTGCATTATTTATGCGTGTGCGCTGTGCCCTTCTCGGTCCGTCCTGCTGCCACCTCTGTGTGCATAAACGCCCAGATTCTTCATTTATATACGGACTCCAGGTCCCCGAGGGGGCCCGGCCCCATTTGTGAAAGCGCGCCACTGGATCACCCTGTGATTGAACAGGGGGGATGTGCTCGCGAAGCCCCCCCGCCCTCCCCCCCTTCCAAGGGGGGGTGAGATTTTCGCCCCCCCCCCCCCCCTTTGCGCCCGAAAGGGAGCCGGGGAGGGGAGGCCTCTCTCGTTTCTCCTTTCTGCGCCGGAGAAGGTGTGTAGGGACTACGGATTTGAATAGGGAGTAGTGAGTAGTGAGTTAGTGCGTAGTGAGTAGTGGGTATTGGGTAGTGAGTAGTGAGCAGCGAGTGGCGAGTAGGGAGTAGGGGGTAAGGAGTGGAGAGTAGTGAGTAGTGAATAGTGAGTAGTCTGTATTGATAAGTGAGTAGCGAGTAGCGAGTAGTGAGTAGTGAGTAGTGAGTAGCGAGTAGCGAGTAGTGAGTACTGAATAGGGAGTATGGAGTAATGAGTAGTGGGTAGTGAGTAGTGGGTAGTGAGTAGTGGGTGGCGAGTAGTGATTAGTGAGTAGTGAGTAGTGGGTACTGCGTGATGCGTAGTGAGTAGTGAGTAGTGAGTAGTGAGTAGTGAGTAGTGAGTAGTAGTGAGTAGAGAGTAGCGAGTAGTGAGTAGTGAGTAGTGAGTAGTGAATAGTAAGTAGTGCGTAGTGAGTAGCGAGTAGTGAGTAGTGATGAATAGAGAGTAGTGGGTAGTGGCAGTGGGTAGTGCGTAGTGAGTAGCGAGTAGGGGGTAGCGAGTAGTGAGTAGTGAGGAGCGAGTAGGGCGTAGTGAGTAGTGAGTAGAAAGTAGTCTGTAGTGAGTAGTGGGTAGTGATTCAGTGAGTAACGACTTGGGAGTAGCGAGTAGTGAGTAGTGAGTAGGTAGGGAGTAGTGAGCAGTGAGGAGTAAGAAGTGGGTAGCGAATAGTGAGTAACGAGTAGCGATTAGCGAGTAGCGATTAGTGAGTAGTGGGTAGTGACTAGTGACGAGAGACTATGTAGTGACTAGTGAGTAGGGAGTAGGGAGTAGTGAGTAGCGGGGAATGTGTACTGAGTATTGGGTAGCGAGTATGGGAGTAGCGAGTAGTGAGTACTCAGTACTGTGTAGTCACTATTGTGTAGGGAGTAGCGAGTAGTGGGTAGTGAGTAGTGATTTGTGGCCAGTGAGTAGTGAGTAGTGGACAGTGGGTAGTGGGTAATGAGTAGTGATTAGTGAGTAGGGAGTAGTGATTAGTGAGTAGTGAGTTTTGATAGTGGGTAGCGCGGGGTGAGTAGGGAGGAGGGAGGAGGGAGTAGTGAGTTGGGAGGAGGGAGTAACGAGTAGTGGGTGGTGGGTAGTGAGTAGTGGATAGTGAGTACTGAGTCGTGAGAAGTGAGTAGGGGGTAGTGAGAAGTGAGCAGCGAATAGCGAGTAGTCAGTACTGGGTAGTGACTAATGAGTAGTGAGTACTCTTTGGGGCCGGGGGTAGTGGTTAGGGGGCTTTGAAAGGGGGGAGGGGGGGAGAGGGGGTTCCCGACGACGGACCAGGAAAGGGGGGGAGGGGGGGGGGTTCCCGACGACGGATCGGGGAACGGGGGGAGGGGGGGAGGGGTCCCCCCCCCCCGTGGGGAGATCCAGCGGCGCGCCCTCCCCATTTATCTCCATGTCGGCACCGGGGTTCCAGGACCTCCCGTTCCCGGTCCAAGAGTGCTTAGATGGCCTCCAAGACGGCCACGATGGCTAAGACAGCTAAGATGGCCTCAAGAGAGCCCCAGATGGCCCCAAGATGCACCCCACACGGTCCAGTATGGGGTCAAGATAGCTCAAGATAGCCTCCGAGGCGGTCCGTGGCAATTTTGGCTCAAACCATTTTGGCTCAAGCCACATAGCGTCTCAAGCAAGCTAAAGTTGAGACGAGGATTTCCTACTGCGGAGTCAATGTCCGACAGTCTGCGCTGGGCCCCTGGCGGCGCCTTCAGCGCCGCCCCTGGCGCGCGGAGCGCGCAAGGGAGAGGAGTACACTGCCTAATTATAGAATCTGTGCGGCATCCAATCTCCATGCTGATTCAGCTTGTTCTTCGCCGATCCATCCCATTCCCTTTGCCCCCCTCCCCCCAAGCTCCGATCTGAGGAACGAAAGATGCCTGCGTCAGGGCGGCGGAGTTTCATTGTTGGCGTTCGAATGTTCAGAAAGGGAATGAATGGGTCGGCGCCTCAGTGTGCGTGCCGTTCGCGCCAAGGCGCATCAGGCTGCAATGCTGGCTTGCAGGTGACGCCCGCCTGCGGGTTGCTTGCAGGCGCCACATAGCGTCTCAAGCTAAACCTGAGACGAGGATCTCCGAGTGCGGAGCCAATGTCCGACACCCCAGAGTGTACTGGGTCGATCGAATCCCTCCAGATTGTTTACAGATTTTTCGGTCACCCATTTCTGTTGATGCACGGAGGTTTGTTCGCGGTGTTGTTCGTTTTATGTGATGCACATTTGCGCAGCAGTTCGTTCGTTTTGCATGGCCGTCCGCTCTTTCAGTTGCGACCAAGTTCGTAGCATGACTCACTTTCGATGTGCAAGTGAGCAAGACAGGAGGCTGGAAGCACAAGTCCACGAAGTCCGGAAACCCGGCTTCTTCACATTTGGGCGAATACATGCTGTTGCACAGATGTTTATCATTGTATTCTGCCACATCAGCTCTGCGAGTGCCGAGCAGAGCGTGCATCCACGTCATGGGTGGCGCACAGATTGCATGGTAACTCGTTATGCTGCACTCGCCCCCGTGTACATATCTGCCACAGCCATGATGCTAATGCTTGGCGTGTTGCCGAAGTCAACGTCGACGACTTGGGTGAACGCGCTGAGCATCACGACGTCCTTGAGCGTCATTTTCTTTTCTGCTATGCCAGTCGTGACACACTTGAAATCACTCTCAGGGCTCCGATATGTCAAGATTGCTTGGGAAGCGGCGACGACCTTATCCACGTGATCGGCATCAACGAGGAGCAAGATCAGTGGAACACGCAACGCGTATACCAGAGTCACCTGGCTGCGCGATGTCTTGCGAAGGGCGCGGAAGGAGCAGGCCACGCACTCGACTCGCTTGGGCCAAGCCGTGATAGGTCCGACACTTCAGAGTCCGACTCCTTCGATGATGACGATGGTGCCACCTCTGTTGTAGTAGTAGGCACATGTGACTCGGAAATGCACATGGCCTTTTAACCTGATCGCTGGAAGCGGGGACGACGTCTTGCCGATCACGTCGTGCAGCCCTGCTTTCTCGGTCCTCTTTGGCAACTTCGAGCCTGGTACGTCACTTCGTTCTTTGGTTCATGCAGAGAGATTACAAACA